CAAAACTTTAAGCCCCTTAGGTTTGAGGCTTTTTTTTCAACGCTAACCTTCACAAATTTACCTCTGGAAAAATTGGGCCCTTTCCTGACTTTGCTTTGGTGGGTATTACACCCCTGACAACCCCCCCCCCCAGTCGAGATCAAGGTGGTTTCCTCATACTTAATCTTGCAGATTAATGCCACATCCATAACAAACAGACAGCTTTTCCCAATTCTCAATCTTCTCAAGAACATCAACCCTTTCCATGGTATTCTTAAGAATATCCTTAAGAGCCCCCACATTATTTCCGTCCTTTGATGTTCCCCATATCCCGAGTGCCTTATTCGCCATGCCCTTTCCTCGTGTTTCCATAAATTCTTGTGTAATTAACGTAACCTCTTTCGTGGTGAAGCAATCTAAAGCGCTCATAAGTGGTTCTTTGTTTCGATCATATAAGTCGAGTAGATCGCAAATTTCTTGAAAACAACCTTTTTCGATTTGAGCAATGGGCCACTTGTTACGGTCCTGTGGCAGATCTGTTTCGTCTGTCATTATGCAACGTGGGCACATTTCCCCCCTCGTAGGAACAGATTCACTTGATGGCAACGTTCCAGTACACGCTGCATTTGTCTTCGAATGTACTTCGCTTTGGACCTCATGATTGTTATCAGGGCTTTTCTTTGGCAGCAATCGTCGCAGAAGTTTCAATGACCTTCTTTTTATTGAGCCAGTTGTATCTAATGAATGAGACGATGCAATCTTTTGACTCTGCTGTTCCTAATAAACCACGTTTTGGAGTATCTTACTATATATTTCTAAATGTAGCCAACCTAACAAATTGTCTTTAAGAGCAATGTTTCAGGAAACATCAAGATTTTCAAATGTTTTCCTGTAGTGCTTACAAAAACTGTAAAAATAATAAAATATGAAATACCTGCTTTAGATTTGACTGTTGTTTCAGACTCTGAAGGATTGCTTTCCAAAACTGAGCTTCTTTCATGGACTTCATTTTCTTCTCGTCCAGCGTTCGCGTCCATTTCTTGCTGAGCGACGATACACTCCCTGGGATATTCTGGACTTGTCTTGCTTGTATCTGCAGGTCGCTCCTCTTCCGACGCGACTACATTGGACTGTGCTTCCCCATCTAAAACAAACAAACGAACAATGTAAAGTAATCAGTAAACATGGAAGTAATGATGCTTGTGATGTTACTCTGAGTATATATCCACTCCGGGCAAGCTTGAAAAATATGCCTGTCTACGGTGAGAATCGAACATACGACTTTTGGAATACTAGCCCAATGCTCTTCCAACTGAGCTACGCGGGCTAATATTCTAAAGGTCGTAGGTTCGATTCCCACCGTGGACAGGCATATTTTTCAAGCTTGCTCGGTGTGGATATACACTCAGAGTAACATCACAAACATCATATTCACCTGAGTACACCAACACAGAACAAATCATGGAAGTAATGTTTGAAATATTACAGGTAATTGATTGTAAATTCGCCATCGCCTTTGCAAATTTGAAAAACGGCCTTGCAAATCCCTTAATTAAGGGAATTTGCAATATTGCAATGTTCCTAAAAGCCAGTTTGATTTTCCCCACCGATCAGTGGATTTTCCTTAGTTCCTGTTAGAAGTTCCTAACTTCCTGTTACAAGTTCCTAACTTCCTTTTCTGTTTTGTTTTGCATGCGCGTTGTAATTGACTAACCAAATAATCCACCAATGACAACGCGCAGAACAGAACAGGAAGTTAGGAAAATTCAAAAGGAAGTCTCTGCAAACTCGTTTTCAGAGCATGCCCGTTCGCAGGTTAGAGACCTAATTTTGTGTTGTCAGGCCCTCTCTTCCCATACACCCGAATACACCCGCATTTAAGGAAGGGAAAACTCAGGCTATGGAATATTGCAACAGCCAATAGGAATATTGCAAATAAGTTTTTCAAATTTGCGAAGGTAATGACCTTTCTAGATTTGGATAGATACCGTTTCATTTGGGTACAAATACTACTGCCCTTTGTAACAGAAAAAAAACGCCAAGGAGTTATAGTGCAGAAAAATAGCCACTACCATGAGCTGTAAAAGTCCCAGAGGCCTAGCGAACCAGAGAATGTCTAAAATGGCTTTAATGGCGTCTCGACCGGCGTCAACTAAACTGAGTTGCTTTACCTTTTGGTGGATAAACGTTTAGTGTAATGTTGTCTGCAATAAGAACGTATTCGCAATAGTTTGCATCAACATTGAAGGTCGTCTTATTCTCTGCCATATAAATTTCTGCCGAGATTTCTGCAATGCAACTTCCAGCCTTTGGCTTTGTCACTGATTTCTATAGCTGAACCGAAATAAATATCGAGAATTAAATAATATTAATAAATGTTGATTATAATTAAATATCGAGAAATAGATATTGGTTTGAGCAAAATATAGCTCGCTCAACGTTTGTGTACGTAGAGATTTAACTTGCATGGATTTAAAAAGTTGAAGAGTATTTCTGATGACGTTTGCAAAACGTATAAGACAACAATCAGCATTGATGTGACATACGAAATGTACACCATTTCTGAGCTATCTTAGTAAAGTTATCAATAGTAAAGCAATTGCATTGCATTATATGTCAAAACGTTACCAATTTTAACAAGTCCGCCTGCGGTGCAGTAAAATATAAACTGTAATACAGCTGAATATGCGAATAATGTCGCAGACAAATGCGATCATGAAAAGAACATTGTTTAAGATTCCGTTTTTTATGAAACGCATACGAAGTCAGAGTTGTAAATATTTTATAAAACTACATACCTTGACGTCGACAAGTTATATTTCCGTGAAATTTGTCTGGTAAAAAAGTGTTTCTCTTGTCTCAGACCAATATTAGGTTCTTGAAAGAATGCCCTTGAACACAGCTCTGCCTATTACAGTAAATAAATTTCATGCTTCGGTAATTAGGGAATTTCCCAAATGCTCGCAAAATCGTAATATTTTATAAGTCTTTTTAAGTCGTTTTTTATAAGTCGTTTTATAAGGGTTGTGAATACTGAAGCCATAGGGTATCAAATAATCTGAAAATCTTTAAGCCTACCTTTAAATAATCCGAAAGCCTACCATTAGTGCCTGTAGGGACTCAGCGATCGCTTATACGTATACAAGTCACCATACAGTGAGGTCATTTCCTTATGTTTGCAACGAGAAAAGATGACTAATATAATTAAATTAGCTAGGCGGAAATTGGCATACACGAATAATTTATGACGATCGGTGCTGACTCGTATCGTACATATATAGATCAGTGGATGGAAGTGTTCCGTCATGCACCATTATTTTTTTAATCCTCATTTGAGGGACTGGGTACGAGTCAGATTCCGCACGCCATTTACTTTCACGCCATTTACTTCCATCCGCTTTTTACTTTCACCGCAGCCTGCGTGGCAGGCGGTATTTCTACAGGCAGCGAAAATTAGGGAGGCAAAATCCTTAATTATCGGATTGGACGTTTATAATCCGACAATTGGCTAATGTTTAAAATCCGATCCGATATTGTATGATCCGAATCCGATCCGAGATTTGATAAATAATTCCGATCCGAAGAATCCTTTAATTAATAAAATAAATTTCTCATTCAAGTGGAAATATTTAACCAAATAAATATAAAAGCAAGAAATACACGTCAAAAAACTAACAAAGTGACGTCCAATTGAATTATCAAACGAATAATGCAGCGACATCGATATCCGCGTTGTCGTGGATAATTAATTCATTTTATTTCGAATATCGTAGTCCGATCCGATCCGACTACGAAACAACTTTATCAATCGGATCCGATCCAATCCAAAATGAATATTTTTGTTCCGAAATACGAACGAATCCGATCGGATTCGGATATATTATATCCGAATCCGATATTGGACCTGGGATATTCTGGACTTGCCTTGCTTGTATCTGAAGGTTGCTCCTCTTCCGATGCGGCTATATTGGACTGTGCTTCCCCATCTAAAACAAACAAACGAGCAATACAAAGTAATTAGTAAACATGGAAGTAATATTTGAAATATTACAGGTAATTGATTGTAATTTTCGCCATTACCTTTGCAAATTTGAAAAACGTCCTTGCCAATCCCTTAAGGGAATTTGCAATGTTGCAATGTTCCTAAAGCCAATTGGATTTTCCCCACCGATCAGTGGATTTTCATCAGTTCCTGTTACAAGTTCCTAACTTCCTGTTACAAGTTCCTAACTTCCTTTTCTGTTTCGTTCTGCGCGTTGTAATTGGCTAACAAAAATAATCCACCGATGAAAACGCGCAGTACAGAACAGGAAGTTAGGAAAATCCAAAAGGAAGTTTCTCTGCAATCTCGGCGGAATTGCATACTGTGGTAAAACTGTAGGAGTCCAGCTACCTCCTCAGCAGGTCGTAATGAATTCCCTAATGAGGCAGAGTTTGCCCATTCGCAGGTTAGAAAGTCCAGCGATTACTTGTTGCCTTCTCCACAGGCCCTGCTGTACCATGGGAAGCTCAGACACAATAGAAATACACGCAACTAGAAATACACGCATGCAACAACCCCTCGCCTTTATTTTCTTAACATTGTTTCAACATGAAGTATTCTAAATTACGCCAACACTGAACGCAGGTTCGCGCTGCTCTGTTGCATTTGAAGCATGTATAATATTCCAAAACATTGTATTAATTTATTAGTATTATAATTACGTGCAATAATTTTAGTTATACTTTAGGCATAATTATTATTTTACAAATTATTCTTAATATTAGCATTTCATATAGCAAATATTAAAATGGCTTATATACATGCATATAAAATAACATTACAAATTTAGTTTATTAATTAAAAATGCAAATTGGCCTGCCAAATTGCCATGTTATATATATATATGTCTGTACAAGAACATGAGTTTTTATTTGGGCTTTATATTTAGCACAGCTAAAATGTTATTAAATTTGTGCACTTATTGAGTAGTGCCATCACGATCAGGGTGATTTTCATGAAATTATTCTTGCAGATTAATGCCACAACCATGACAAACAGGTAGCTTTTCCCAATTCTTAATCACGCAAAAAACATCATCCCTTTTCATGGTACGTTTAACAATCTTCTTAAGAGCCCCCACATTATTTCCGTGCTCTGATGTTCCCCACATACCGAGTGCCTTATTCGCCATGCCCTTTCCTCGTGTTGCCATAATTTTTTGTGGATTTGACGTAGCCCCATTCTGGGTGAGACCTAAAGCGCTCAGAAGTGGTTCTTTGCTAAGATAATGTAAGTCCAGTAGATGGCAAATTGCTTGGAAACAACCGTTTTCGATTTGAGCAATGGGCCACTTGTCACGGTCCTGTGGCAGATGTGTTTCGTCCGCCATTATGCAACGATGGCACATTTTGTCGCTATTTGGGACCAATTTTCTTTGCCTTTCATTTCCATTAGTACCAGGGTTCCCTTTCGGTAACAATTGTCGTATATAATTGATCAATTTTGTTTTCCTGTTCCCCTGTCTTGAACCATTTGTATCTAATTAAACGACAAGATGTAAGCGCTCTAACCAACTGAGCTATCCATAGTCCAGTTGTCGAGCTTTAACTCAAGTTCATATCCAACTTGGCATGTTATCCACTTATCTAATCCTGTATTATATATTACGTTCACCCATTTACGTTTTTCATACCAATAAAGATTAGAATTCTAATAATAAATATTAAAGCCCAGCAAAGTGCTTTTAAAAGAGCCATAAACCATTAAATTTAAAATATTATTAGAATTCGTTTCCCGCCTGGTACTTCTCTTGTAACAATAAAGATTAGGCTTTCAGCTGTTGAATTCTACCTTTCTTGTATCACTGCGATCAAAAATAGGCAAACACAATCCGATTTAAACATGCCGGACGAAATCGCATTTGGGAACTGCATGCATGTAAAGCTAATAGTAATAGTCTTATAGTATTGAAATTATACAGTCCCTTGAGTAAATATGGGGAAACGCATGTGTAACCGTCAAGTTTTGATAAACTTTTACTCGCCATTTTTATCGAAATTGAGTGACTAAAACATTTTACAACACTTGCAGCTTGCAGACTGGACTCACAATGGCATATACGTTGCCCAAATGTCGGCGTCGCAACAAACATTTGGGCAAATTAACGTTGGAACAACGTTAAATTGGAACAACGTTAAATTCCAAAACAAAGATGGAAAATACAAATTCAACCGATGACTTTAAATCGGATCGCATTTGATAATTTTTTATCGCAATCATTCCATAAAGGTACATGACAGCTAAAAACCTGATCTTTATAAATACGAAAAAGAAAACCTATTGACGTATTAATTAACGCGCGATAGCATGTCAAACTTGGATTACCTTTTTTTATATACACCCTGCATGTACTGTATATGGGGATGCGAGTGTAAAGGAGGTTTTCCAGCCCTCGCACGAAGCTCCTCGCCGCTCGCTACGAGTGCTTGCATCTAATTAAAATTAAACTGTTTTGCATTGGCCATTACAGTGATTGGATGAAAGTGCTCATGCATGCACTGCGAGGAGCTTCATGCGAGAACTGGAAAACCGCCTTAAATCAGGGGCCGGTTGTTCAAAACTGGGTTAGTTTAACCTTATAGGTTAACCTAAAAACTTCCTCACAGCTTGTCTATAAATTTAGAAATATTTTTTCGAGATCTTGTCTGGATCGATAGGAGTTTACTTCTCTGAGGTTTTGAAATAAACAGACGTGCAGAAGTATATACAAACTAAAACAGCAGGTTAAATTTTAACCCAGGGTTAGCGCTAACCCACCTTTGAACAACCGGCCTCAGGTGGTACCAGAATTGCAGGTTCTATTCCTACCGGAGGGTGTATGGTTGCATTTGTCGCAACTTAAAGGTGGTTGCAGGTATTCAGATCCTGGAATGCTGTGAAATGGCCCTGC